CAGCACAAGGCGGTACTCCAACACTCGTGGTGATTTTTCAGGGAGAAATTGCAGTTAACTTTCAGCGCTTGTTGGAGTTTGTAAGTTTACAACAAATTTCGATATGCCAGGAAAATATTAAATCCAGCAGAGCTTTCGGAAAAAAACTTACGTTCTAAGTGTATTACTGGGTTTTACGATTACTTAGTGCTTAAAGTATGACTTTACCAGATCGAAATTATTGTTCACTTATAAATGAGTTATCTTATAAGTTCCGTCCGTTTTGTGACCAGCAATAACTCTCAGGACCTCTTAATCCCAAATAGATTTCCAAATAGCATTCAATAGAGCAGCTCTACAAGATGGCGTTCTTGCTTTTGCGCCATCTTCAATTCACTAAGAGTTTGAAGCCAAAAACCAAATACAATTCAAGATCCCGAAAAATTAAGAAGAAAACTGAAAAATCGTAACTCCATCCAAAACAATCCTACAAAAATGCTAACTTGCTCACTGCATGTACTCCCCGCATAAGACGTTTTGGAAATATGCCATATATGCCATTGCTGTATGTTTTCCTTGGCAAAAATCTGAAAAGACGAAAATTTTTATTTCGATGCTCTACTAGGAGAACCTGATAATTCGGTTGGCTTGCACTGCTAAACTAAATTGCTTGATCAAGCACATACAATTCCTGCAAAATAAACGACGTGAAGTATGGTTTTTTGCCTAGATGTATGAAATGCTCCGAAAAAATGCTGCTTACTTTAAGTAATAAGGAACCCAGTGTAGATTCAGAGGGCAAATCCATGGAAAAACAGTTGCCGTGGGCCAACGACGGCGCCTCCACGAGTTTTTGAAGAGACGCTCAACAAAAATATTTCTTGTAGATTCCAGGGATATTTTTGAGATGCATTCCAAATTTTTCAAAACCATAACCTGAAATCTCAAAAAATGCATGCGTGTACCCTCAACAATTTTTTTTACCAGACTGATTCAACTCTTGAAAATCAGAAATCGTTCGTTTTTTTTACAAAAATAAAAACGTTGCGCGATATCTGATTTTAATAGCTACTGTAAAATTGCGCGACCTTACCAGCTCCCCCCCCCCCTGCCATCCGCCACGGTCAGCGAGTATGAAAAAGGCCAATCACTTTTAAAACTGTGAGCAGGTACATCTCAGGTGAATGGATCCGGGATCATAGTCTTAACATAAAATTCTTCTGACCAGAATTATCCCACGGCTATCGCTGCAATGCTTGCTTTTTTGCTGACAAAAAACAGTGATAGGCGTTCCAATCATGCGGAAAAGCGTTCCAATTCGGGTCCACACATATCCGCTTCCACAAATGCATCTTCCAGCTGAGCGAATCCAGTTCGTGTAGATGAAACCTTTTCTTAAACTCCAAGTAGACAGCATTGAAGTGATAGAATTTTAAAAAATGTGCTTGTTCTGCTTAGTGTTAGACTTGGTTTTTTACCCTCTTACCATTTTTGAGCAGGAGAGATGAACTTATCGGAGTGAGCCGAAACCTAAGAGATAAGTTTATGGATTCAAAAATAAGCAAGACTGAACTGCCCTTGTCACTTCAAGCTCCACTGTACAAAACTACTCATTAGACAAAGTTCGGTAAACAAGCGGTCATACGCAGGGCTTACTGGGACACTCCATATTTGAACTGCTTTGTAATTTGCGTGCACAAAAGTCTTTTGCAGTAAAGTCACGGATTTTTTCCAAAGTTCAAGTATAAGCTTATATCGCCACAACGATACAACAAGTTCCAACATTTTTTGTGGTCATTTTCAGCATTGTACGGTTTTGGGACTAGCAAGGGATGGCCAGAGTCGGAGTGGCCAATACAAGCAAGTTGCATATACTGGATGCAGCGTAAAACGCTGACTTTAGATCTATCTTTCTTATCAGCTAAGCACTTTTGTAAAGGCTGTAGGCCATCCGAGGTCGTTATTTTGCTAAGAAATAGTGCGTGCGAAGTGCAAATATGATTGTACACAGCCAAGTTTCGTCATAAGACAGTGGCTCAGCAAATCAGAAGATTTAATGATATATTGGCATGGAAGGCCGCAGCACCCTAAACATGAGAGAAGAGCAGATCTGAGCCCTCAGCATGCTGCCCCCTGCCTAGTGCTCCTAGAAATAAATCTTAGACGCGCTCGGACGAGCTTGCGTTCCCCTCCTACCATGGACAGTTTTTTTTTTTTGAGAAAACATACACATTAAATGAACAGTTTTCATGTAATGTATTAGGTTGTAACAGAATTAATGCAGGTTTATCGCGCACCTTTTTCAAAATGCTGGTCTAGAACGGGAAAGTGTTTTCTCAGAGAGTTTTGCATATTATTTGAAAGCTCTTTTCTTCTAATTTCTTATGCATTCTTTCGTTTCAGTGGAAGTGAATTTGTTTAGAAGTTCTGAGCCCATGAATTTCTAAAAGCAAATCTCGAAATTCTTGCTTTTGATATATCTGGCTCTAAAACCACCAAAAACGATCGGAATTCGCTGCAAATTTACATAGTACTTTTGAGTGAGCTATGTTACAAAATCCATGTTAAGTCATGAATTCTGGAAACATCTGAGCCGAGAAATTTCAGAGCAAATTTCAACGGTCGCTGTGGTCCGTCTCCCCTAAATAAAATTCCTCAGCGAGAAGCGACAGCGGAGCTTCCGCTTTATATAGTAAGAATAGATTTTATACATTCATGGCTGAAAAAATCGGGAGCCGTTCTCCTTATTCAGCTTTGAAAAAATTCAAAAGTTTCAAAAAAGCGATTTTTCAAATTTTCAGAAAAGTCGAAAAAATGAGTACTTTCAAAAATTTTTCAAATATCCTCTCGTAAAGAATTCTTTTACAGTTCCAAATTTAGCGCTGCTGCACAACCGACCATAGGCTACACAGTGAGTTATATTTGGGCTGCCTTACTACATTTGACAGTAAGTTATGGCTTCTCAAAGTGAAGGTTTTCCGAAAAAATTCTCAGCAGAATTCGGGCTATAAGATTTTTCTCAGTGAAGCTACAACAACACAATAATGCATACTGAGTTGAAAAAGGTTTGCTTATTACAGCAATTCTTGTTGCACACGAAAAGACTATTTGTGTAAAAAGTTATAATGATCCAAACACAAAATTCAGAAAACCTGCATTAATTCTGTTACAACCTAATACATAAACAAACAGTGGGTTATCGAGTAAACAGTTGGAAGAAGTTGCACAATCATGACAGTTAGCCGTTATGATAGTAGAGAAATAAAATCCTTCTTACGATTAGTTAACTACTACATTACCTTTGGATTGTGAGCGAGGCATGGTCAACCATTCTCAATTAAAAGAGATATACAAGAATGCAAAGAGGATTTTCGCAGTTATTCTGAGAAAACATGCACCTCAAATGAACAGTTATTTATAGAGTAACAAACAGTGAGTTATAAAGCGAACCCAGTTGAAAAAGGTTGCACAATTCTGACATTTAGACATTATAGCGAGTGTCAATGAAGCAGTGCATAATTGCTTCTTCTGATGCGTTTATGGGGTGAACATGTGGGGATCCAATAGGTATGCGTTTTTCAACAACTTCAGTTATCTGAAACAAAAAATACAGAAATATTCAGTTTTCAACGTAACGGGAAATTGTGTTCACCTCAAATACATGCTCAGTAGTTGTCCGCTTGAAGTAGTCCTACAACTAATTTGATTTGTAGTGTCTGTAGTGTTTATAGTGTCTTTGCTGTAGTAACATGTTATTAAGTAACTCCAAAAATTCCAAAAATATTTAAGGTTACTCACAGAAATAAATTGTTCGGTTAGTTGGGTTAGGATGTAGCCAATTTTATAACACTTATTGATTGACCGACCTCTTACATCAGCTCCACAGCAGGCGACCTAGTCGGTTTACAACTGAGTTATTGATTTAACGACTGGACCACCTACTTACACCGTAATCGATACACTTTGGTTTACTAATACACAACTATTCGTAGCTCTGACTAAGCCAGTAGGTTGGTCAGGTAAAGGAATAATATTCCTCAAGTCGGAACATGATCGCACATAGACTAACTATTAGGCATACTACAGGGTGCGGCAAAAGTTTGGGAGCCTAACTTTGCAGTACTGCAATTACAAAGATACTGATGGTTTTGATTTAAAATATATGCCACATGATGCTGCGGTCATCCTCTACAGAATACACTTTATTTGGTTGGAAATGGCTGCCATATATTTTTGTAAGAATGGAAATTACCAAACTAGTACTTTTGCAAAGCGAAAAAACCAGAGTTTTTAGTATTTACAATTTTTGCTGCAGCTAGAAATGCTGCTAATATTTTACAAAACTTCGATGCGCACAACATAGAAGAGGCTTTGCGCTATTGTATCCTAGTTTTGCTTTTACCAGGAGCTGTTCTTGCATGAACGGAAAATAAAAGTTTGCGAATGTTACCTACGTGCCAGTGGAAATCTGTCTTCAGAACAAATTCAAAAGCTATGGAATGCTCAACAGGCACTGGGGCCAAGGCTGGATTTTTTGCATACGTCTTTTTAATTAAAATATATTGAAATTTGGCCATGGGAACACTTTTTATACTTTTTAAACGATAGTTTTAAGTTTTTATTCGCGCAATTGTAGCCAAAATCCCATTATGCGGCGTATACATGCTTCTAATTGAAAATCCAATATTTTTATTCCTTAGCAATGCAAAAAATTTTTTGAAAGTATATTGTAGATAAAAGCTTGCTCTAGCGTGCTGCACATTTGCTAAGGTAAAAGAAGCAGTTATTTTGAAGGCATGGGGCGAATTTCATTACGACTACCTGCGTGCCATGACAGGTAGACTTGCCAAGATTTTGTAGGGCTGCGTGGAAGCCAAAAGAAGCAGTTTTGCAATTCAAGAACTGGGATGTATCTGCAATGGTTCGAATTATGTGTGCGCCAAATTTTTGGTTTTTAGGTACTTCCCTTCTCGTTTTGTAGGAAAAAGTACTGGGCTCCAAGACTTTTGCCGCACCCTGTATTATTTACCCATGGTCAGTAGGATCAACGTACCTCTGGGAACCTTCTGTTTGCTGGCTACCAATGTTTTCTGGAATTCAGCACCCATGATATGATCGTAGTGGCGCTGGGCCACGAAGAACTAAATGTTATTATTATTATTATTTATTTTTGTTGCATGCATTAGTCTTACAGCCATGTTGCAGGAGGCGCCATTTCTGTTCACGCACAAAATCTCAGCGGCCAATAAATCCCTCTCGGCGTCAAATAGAGGTTTGGCATAACTTAAATTGTCGAAAAGAAGCTGCAGCGCCTGACCTTTTGACACACCAAAGGGTCGTGGGAGATTGACAACCTTCAATAAAAATCAATTATAATCATAAACAAGTCATAAAACTAACCAGCAACCAGTTGGTTCTGGACATCCGCCTGACCAAATCCAATTCTTTGGTAGTGGCATCATGCTGCTCCTTCAGTCGATTTTGCTGATTTTTGAGTCGGTCCACAGCGGAGGCTAATGATGCCATAGCAAGGGACAACTCAGAGCTGATGTTACTGTCTCCAAACAGCATGTTACGGACAGCACCGGCTACATCAATGGAGGACATGTTAGAGGGTTAGGCATGCTTACCCATTGACGGTTTATATACCAGCGAATCCCGCCCAATTTTTTCGACCTCAAGCAACTGACTGATAGTTTAAATAATGGGCGGGAAGGTACCCAGAGTTCCCTATATTCGTTTACCGATTAAGTTCTAGACATCACTTCATTATATAAAAATCTTAGATGTCTATCTCCTGTTTCCCCACAGAGTAGGGCATTAACTTCTTACCATCAATTGCATACTCAGACAGTTGCATCGGAAAGTTCACGGGCGCTTGCTCGGCCACCAATCATCCATGCCGCGAGCTGCCCGGTATTAACCGATATTGTGCCCATTAAGTGACCGCGGCGCATCCTGTAAGCGCCCGATAGTTGAGTCGATTAGCATGCTTGTGAGGCATGAGAAGAGTGAAAAATCCTTTGGTCTGTCTTTCATGACAACGACTTGAATGCAAATTGAGCAACTTGTTAGCTCATCTGTCGACATCATCTATTTCGCCGATAATACCCATCCGACTGCTGAAATTTGTTTCAGCAGTCGGATGGGTATTATCGGCGAATCGGATGTCGGCAGTCGGATGGTTTGTAAGCATAGAAACTCAACTGTCAGACAGGACCAAACCCGAAAAGCGGTTACCCAGCCTCACAAACTCTTAGGGTAGCCCCATCGCTGCGTCATACCCCACGCGGGTTGCGCCTCAATCTACAGCGTGTAAGAAGTGCGGTCTTTGATAGGGCGCGCGGTCCGCCGAGTGAGGTGATTGGGCCGCGACTCTCCCGATAATCTCTTTCCAATTTCAACTTTGGCCGCGGCGTTCCCGGTAAAATGTACGTGCGCGGCTGAAATTTCAAGGGCCGCGGCACGCCATGTAACACGCTTTGAGGCCGCGAACTTTCCGAGGCAATTGTCTGAGTAGATGTTGGTCACCCTCTAGCATCAAGAGTTAGAGAAGGCACATGGCCTTTAGGTGACATACAACACATAAAAACTATTATAAGTGGTCTCTTGCTTGCCCGCATGTAAGGAGTAGTCCGTGTTCCTTCAAAAAATCATCACTAATGTACTTATGACCCATATACAGTAAACTCATAAATCGAAACATAATGATACGTATTTATATAGCTGATAACAAAACGGGTTAACGGAAGTCAATGATAATAACATTATATACACTAATTATACAAACGTAAATTAGTAAACATCAAGATCAACATGTACATATACAAGAATAAACACATGCAATACACAATGTATATATGCATGCATACAAAAAAAGGTAACAGAGGAATTGCATACTTGACATTATAGGTATGTTAAATGAATACAAAAAGGGCATAAACTACCAAGCAATCACAGTCAAGACCAAAAGTATGCCTTCACGATACTTATCTTCAAAGTATCGCAGTGCTTTTTGGCAGGTCTTAAAAATTGAGAACGGCGTAGCTTGGTTTTTGTAAAAGTGAATTACTATGTGAGAAAAAATACAGGAGCGGAATATGAGTGCCTGATGTGGTGTGCAATTTGGAGATCCTTCGATTTTTTCAAACGAAGATATGAATCCCGATTTTTTGGGCATTCACAACTCAGATTCTGTTCCGAACTTACGGTGGGTCAAAGCTGTCGCGAGCTCTAGCATACTATCTTCTAGAACTTGCTTTGCCCTATTGAATGGTGCCTCTGTATGTATATGTAGATTTCGAGAAATAGCAGATCTAGTCTGGAAATGTCCAAGAACTTTCGAGCCAACCTAGTATTCTCCAGTCGAACTATGAAGCTTTAGACGGCATATCCGAATAACCACTATGAGTTGGATTACCTTCCAACTCATCGATCGTTATGTACTCGGCGCGCGCACAAGAATGGGGTCATCCTAGATGGCGCGCGCTGGGGGCGTCGAGCATGTACACTAATGGGTTGGTCATAGGGGCGGAGGCTGCCGGCGTGACCGTTTATCGCGCCTTTGAATGCCTCGCGCTCTCTGTTAGCGGACTAAGATAGATTGAAACTGCAAAAATTTTTTTTGAAATTTCTGCTCGAAAGTGTGTCTTGCACTCAGCATTAGTATCAGTCTGTTTCTGAATACACAACACAGCTTCTGTTTGGTTTTTTTGTGTTCTCTATAATAGATGTTTGTCTTGTAATGATTGTCTTTTCTTGACTCGACAGAAAGCTCGCCTACAAGCGTCAAAACACTAATTATATAAATAAAAGTGCAGCTTTTGTTTAAGCATTGAATCACCCTGATTTCACGCGTATAGAACGTGGGAAATTGGAACTTTTTCTCATATTGAACAGCACAGACACGCCGAAGGACTTCGCGACGAAAAATCTATCTACAGTGCTGCATATTGCTTGAGAGTATCGTGCAGCATAAATCTCGTTTTCCGAAACGACGGGGCGGATGAGCGGCACGCTTGGAAAAAAAGTGCGTATTACAGGCGTGAAATTAGATAGTTACCATGAACATACCGTACTTAGACAGGCAAATTTAACATAAGAAGTTGAGGCCATTTCAAGCCGAGTTGAGTGGTTTATTTGGACTCAAAAGAACATTATCAAGCTATCACGATGTACACCCAACTCACTAGGAAAGGATTTTAAGTCGCAGTAGCGAGAACGATATGCATATAGGTAGATGTGTCTTTTTGATCTAGATGCAAATCTAACTTTTGTAGCTGCTGCGGGATTCCCCACAAAAAAGTTGTAAGCGTGGCACCGTTTGAAAATGTGGCAAACATTTAGTGGCACCTCTTCAAGAATATTGCTCGAAAGCAATAATTTTTCTGGATCTGTGCATCAACCAGGAACTGTAAACCCGTTTAAGGTGTTTCCTTGTAGTCAGGCCACTCAACATTTTGCCAATCATACGCTTCTAAGCTGATTTTGATGCGCATACATTAGAACCATGACTTCACCATTAATAATTACTTCTTACAAAGATCCCGCAGCAGATACGGCAAGCAAGATTGGAATCATCTCATCGAGACCAAATGACATGCGCTCTCCATTGCGAGTTGGGATTTTTCCCTTGTCAGATAACGGCTTTCTTCCACACGGAATGAAAGCAATCTTATCATAGGTTAATAATAGGTTAATATGTTGATTATTGATAGGTTGGTGCAAGAGTAATGCGCGTTTTTCTAGGCCTTGCTTCAATACGATCTTTTTCCATCAAACTTTCTTCGTTGAGAAAGGCTTAATATAGGTCAAGAAGCTATTTTCATGCTCTATCTAATCTTGCTTGAAATGAGCTTCTAGCTTTATTTGTTAAATATTTACAGAGCTTCAATTAACCACTCGAAACCAAAATTTCTCTAAATTCAAACGCGGATGAAGACATTGTCTCGAAATTACAGCTACCATATGTCATAGAAATTGCCTACATCATGCACACTTTGTTGTCTTCTTAGAAGTAGTCTGGATGGAGATAACAGTGCTTTGATATGGGTACTAAATTTGGTCATTTTGTGGCCCATAATTGCAAGACGGTTAGCCTTTCAGTACGCAGATTGAAAAATTCCGTAATTCGCGACTTTCAGGCTTACAAAAAATAATGGAAAAAGCTGATAATTTTGGATTTCGATCTATCTTCTTTTCGCAAATCTTACTCCAAACCCTTCTTATATCATTCTGTACTACTGGCTTGCGGTTACAAGATGGGCTACTTATTATATATACTAACACACTCCAAAGGAAGTTTATGATTTGTTAAAAACGAGGTTTCAGAAGTGAACTTTTTTGTTTATCACTCCATGTTTTTCTGCCCGTTTGCGATACGAGTATAGGATAGTGTGCGCTGTACTGAGGAAGGTTTGCTGCCTTGAAGATCTTTATCACGTTGAAGAATCCAGATTTTCTAGAAAGTTATAGCACGTCAAAGTGAAAACTCGCAAAACGCGCATTATTTTTGCACCAAATTAATACATGTGTGAGAACGGCGAGGTTGCATCCTAGAGCGATGTGTTCAACGCATCTGGACAAAGAAAACACTCAGACATCTGGATGGAGCCTTAGAACACTAAAAACATACGGCCCAGCAGTGATCGGAAAAATTTCTTTTTGAGAAGATACATAGACATAGTCATATGTCTGGGCAGAAATGCTGGTTGGATTTGGGAAAGTAACGAAACGAATAAACAATTAACGATTATATTGTTGCTCTTGTCTCTATGATGTGACTTCGCTTTGACACCAATTCAGCAAAGCAAGTTGTTACATGAGCAATTCATGGACATCATTGGCAAATTTGCTTATAGCTTGCAACAGATCTTCAGGAACTCCAATGACGCATGATAGCACATAATAGCGGGTCCGACGGCCTTTCTTTTGACGGTCAAAGAAGCCTCCTTGACGGCATCCAACAAATAAATCCGCGTTGAATTCCTTAACCATGCGGACGAACTGGAAAAAAATTGACGAAGTGTGCCGTGATTTTCTGTTAGCCACAAACTATTTTAAGCGAACGAACTTATGCCACATGTAACACTTGCTATCTCAAAATTAATTTGACTAAACGTGTCATCTTATAAGGGAATGGTACCAAGTTGCTGCAGATTTTCATGGATGGTGCTTTCTCCATTTGAAAAAGATTTTCGGGGGACATTACGAGCTTGAAAATCAAAATTCTTTAGTTAGTGGAGTGATGTGAGGTAAGCAGTTTCAAAACGCTCATTCGGCTTAGACTTTTCTACTGATTAGTCTAATATATAACTATTATTAGACTAATATATAACTAATATAGTCAATACCATCAAAAATTTCGCGTGACACCTTTTGATGTGCATTATCAGTTTAGGCGTAATGAACTCACTACTTTAAATTCAATTGGTAATCGTTTTCTTTACATTAGAAAAGTACTAGAAGGCAAGTATAGTTGCCGATTGGCAATATCGCAAAAGGAATTTAGACTGTTATGGCTGAATATCATCCATACATTTTAAAAAAGGAACAAGGAACAAGAAAGGTGGTAACAGTGACATAAGCTGCTAATTACACCAACCTCG